GGCTGTGAACAGGCCTCGGCTGTGAACAGGACTCGGCTGTGAACGGGCCTCGGCTGTGAACGGGACTCGGCTGTGAACAGGCCTCGGCTGTGAACAGGACTCGGCTGTGAACAGGACTCGGCTGTGAACAGGACTCGGCTGTGAACAGGCCTCGGCTGTGAACAGGACTCGGCTGTGTTTGTTGTGAAAGCCCGCTTGATCCTTGCTCTGCTTGTGTTTAGGGGGAAGCAGCTGCAGATGAACTCTCGCTGCTCCTTTCACCTGCTCGGGCTCAATGATAAGTTTACTGTCAAGGTAATGGGTTTGCCCGTGGGCACTAATGAGAGGAGTGTTAAAAACCGTCATGTTCTGCTGTAAGCACGGCGGCGTATCCGGCTTCCTCTCATGTGACGGCTGTGTACGTAGCTGAGGCGTTCAGGTTAAGTGGGCGGCCTGAGGCAAGGGCACGACTGAAACAGGACAGAGTGCTTTGTCTCCTCACTGTCGCAGTATTCATCTACATCTGCTGTGGCTATGTTTGAGTGCGTACACGTAAAGTTGTACTTTAAAACAATATATGTTCACTTTGGAACGATGACTAAAAGGACTTTTTTCACACAGTTTTGGTGCCATGTTCTAATTAAATGTGAACACAGGGGAGAAGATCTATTTTAAGGCAACGGATGATAATTGAAATGAACCTCTGATGGAGTCAGTGTTTTAGATTTAATGAAAAATATACAGAAGTAGCACTTTATATATGTTACAATGAGTTTGTGCACAATGTCTTCATTATTTTTTGTTGAAAATGTCAACAATCAGTTCAAAACACAAAGTAAAACCTCTAATTGCACTTTTTTTTTTACGTTTGATTTCCATTCATTACAACGGTAATCTCCAAAGTTTTTAATGAGGACACCTAAATTTAGTCTGTAACAGAATATAATCCAGTCAGTACAGTTTTAAATCATCTTAGTTTAGTTTGGGTAAAACTCTAATCTGGTAGCATGCTTGTATTTACCGTATTTTCCGCCGTACACATCTCACCGCCCTATAACTCGTATCAGTCCAAATATGTCTAATAAAGTGGAAAAATCCATTTAAATATGTCGCTTCACCGTATAAGTTGCATCTATTATGAGTCACCGCTGACAACCCAGAAACATGGGCCGGTGTTGTGCCAAAAATCGATAGGCTGCCAAATGGCGGCCGCGGGAGCGTGCACGGAAGGACTTTAACAAGAATTTAACAAGATTAACACTTAAAAACAATTATTTGTTTGCTCGAAATTATAGTAAAGGTGTGTCTCAGTCTAACTTTTCCTTAATAAATGCACTTTAACGGTCCAATCAGCTGCATTTCAAAAGCCGATATGCGGAAGTAGGCGCGTGCATGGGAGGACTCGCTGTGCATTTCTTCAAAATTTAACAAGATAACCACTTAAAAACAATTATTTGTTTACTCGACTTTATAGTAAAAGTGTGTCTCAGTCTAACTTTTCCTTAATAAATGCACTTTAATGGTCAAATCAGCTGCATTTCACCGAGGTGGCACAGTGAAATGAAGCTGATTTAACGGTTGCTCCAGGCGAGCTGGACAAAGGTGGCAGGCTTGGGCAAGCCAGTTGTGTCATTAATAGCCACTTTTACCTAATACATGACACAACAGCATGCCATACTACTCGAGTGCCATCTAGCGGTACAAATGGTAGTGTTCAATATTTTCAGTCAGAATGAAGGAAGACGGTCATATCTCAGCCAAAAATTGGTTTATAAATATGGGAAATAAAACATAAGTCACAGGGCATGCAGATTATGAAAAAAACGCGACTTATAGGGCGCAAAATACAGTATAATCATAAAACTATATATAATGTAATTTATACTGATTCTACATACGATAATATACAAATAAATGAATAAATTTGTTGGAATCAATGAAAAATCAAAATATTATGTAGTTATTGCACATATGGTTCAATCCTTTATGTTGCTATGTTTTAAACACTAAAATAGACATATATGGTGGTCATATATATAGTATATATATACATTCATGTTTTCTGGGGGGGGGGGTCCTCATATTTATTTTAGAGCTTCATAACGGCTCTCATATCATCAGAGTAATTTTTATTTGATTTAAACCTTTATTTTATCAGGAAAGAAATCCATTGAGATTATTACCGGTAATCTCTTTTACAAGGAAGTCCTGGTTATCATCTGTTTTTGGTGATTTTATGAAACAGTAGCAGCTGGGGGGTGGCGCAGAGGTCAGAGAAGAAGTGTCGGTGATCAGAAGGTTGCTGGTTTGACTCCCCAGACCGACATCAAAATGTGGGTGGGAAAGGTGAAGCACCCACACCTGCCTCTCTCATTGTTTGTCCCACCCTGGGCCCCTGTGCAAGGCCCCTAACCCACCCCCCATCCCCCAATCCCCACATCTACTCCCCCGGGCGCCCTAGGTAGCAGCTCTCTGCTCCACACAGAGGGCTGTGGTTGTCGGGAAGGACATCCGGCGTTAAACAAATGCCAATTTCTGTGTGAGTTGGTTCACTGTGGTGACCCCTGAAGAAGGAGCAGCTGAAAGAAGAACAAACAACAACACTGTAGCAGCTACATTTTCTGTAACTTTCTAAAGAAATATTATATTTGACCTGTCAGACATCTTTTAATCACTTGTCTGTGTTAACGTAAGGTGAGTCGTGTTTATCTTATGTCAACATTTGACTAGTTAGTTACTCACTTTACAAGATTCAGTTCAAAGCTAACATTATTGTTTAAACTTCTCATCAAATTAATGGCACCCAAAGGGAGTGAAAGTCTGCAAAGTTTGTTCCTAAGATCCAAAAACCAAGACCTCTTGTCTTGTCTGAGTTTAAAAGCAGAAAACTGTGTTTTCCAGGTTTTTATGTCTTTAAGACAAACTTGTAATCTAAGTAACTGATTGGCTTCATTGGGTTTCACAGATGAATATAACTTTATCCTGCGCTGTCTAATAACTTTACCTAATATGCTGGTGAAGATTCTCAGTCATCCAGGACATGATCAATTCAAAAAGCGTTCAATACAAAAACAACTGGACTTTAGGGCTGCAACTAACAATTATTTCAATAATCGATTCATCAGTCGATTATTTTTTCGATTAATCGATGAATCGGTGGGGAAAAAAACGTTTTAATTTCCACCCCTTTATTCCAAAATTGAACATTTGACTGACATAGAAATTCACACAAAAAACAGGTTGCTATTTTACTATTCTGTTAGTAAAATATTGAATAAAAAATAAAAGTTAGTCAAAAGCTTAAAAAAATAAATGTACACAAAAATATAAACAAATGTGTTTTTGTACCTGCACAATATGTAGCTACTTTGTAAAATGTGTCATTGAGGGAAGAGTGTAACCTGGATTAAAAGTGTGGATTATTGTAACTTGGATTAAAAGTGTGGATTATTGTAACCTGGATTAAAAGTGTGGATT